GGAAACTTTGCGGGCTACATACTCTATCTAACATTGAGTTACACTCTCAATATCTAGTAAACTGCTGAAGAATAATCTTAGGCATTGTCGTTGTAATTCAATGCTGAAGGAAACATGTAGGTCGCAGAGCAGTTGTTTCCGACAATATCATGGAATCTGAAATGTTAGAGCGGCTACAATGTGGCACAGAGTTAACTGTAGGCCGTGTTCTCTTTTATCTAATTTTATTGAGACAAAAAGTAGCACAACCGTTGCCATAACTGCACTCTTAACATTATAAGAATAAATATCTAAGTATTTGCATAATAGTATTGAACAAAACGGGGCAATGTCTATTTTTCTACATCCCATGGAACTTACCATAAAATACAAGGGAATAGTACGTAAAAATAAGAACCTCCAAAAGTTAACAAAATAATAATTTGTTACTCACAAGGAAAGCAATTGTAGAAAATAATTAACAGTTGTCCTAAGTGTTTCGCGGTTAATTTTCTCCGGCGATCCGTAAATATCCATTTCAAAAACGAACACGTCCATTTAACATTTACCTATCTAAGTCACAGGCGCAAATCTAATATACTGGAAGTTTTTAATAGTTTTTTATTAATGGTGGCGAAGCATCAAACTACTTCACATTTTAGTAATCCCACTATCCGCGTCATTGTACATAATATGTACATATCCGCTTCTGATCTGAAGCTTCGCATCGATCAATTTATTCAATACGTATCTAACGCCGCCCTAATGCCTGCCATGTCGGTCAGGCGTGCAGGTGAACAATCAAGGGACGATGGCCGTGCATTTCTTTGAACTTTATACATGTATTAATGAGTTTAACGCTTTGCTTGGTCAAATGTATGGCACGTGTTTTTATGGCAGTCAGTAGCATTGTGTATTGTGAGCGGCACACGACTTGATCACAGATTTAGCCTCTTTCTGCTACTACAACGCGTACTGCCGCTTGCTAGCATAATCTAGATTACTACTGTTTATTTCTTCCAGTATCGCCACAAAGTTTCCGATGTCTAATCATGAGCTAAAAAGGTTATTTCGCCTACTGCTAAACAAGGCATGCTATCAGAGCACCTAGGTCGCTCTCTGCTATTTATATGTTGCCTACATTTGAGTGACAGCTACACTGGAAAAAAATTGGTGTGAGTGAAAGAAATAAAGGTTCGGAGTCAATCCATTGAGTGAAATTATTGAGTACATTTTCACTCAATATTGGGCATTTTGATGATTTTATTCATTTGTGATTATATTTAAACTAAAACTGAATATTTTCACCCAAATATAGGTACAGTCGGCACCACCCAAATGTGAACGGGAATATTGGACCGTGTAATTTAAACTTCAATTCATAGTCGTCGTAAAATTCAATAGTTGTCAAATATATATGTCACTTAGAGCAAACATAATGAAACAAGTAACGTGAAAAATGCAGGAGCATTTAACTGAGACACAAAGAGCAAGGACTATAGGTAAATTAGATTAGATTAGATTGGTCTTTGATTGAAGTGGCTGCTGATTTAAATGACAGTAAGGGTTGTATATTTTATATTAAACAACTCTGGCAAGAAGAACAAAAATTACAAAGACCTATCAGGCAAGGTGTCGGGAAGATTTCCAGTGACGCGGAAGACAGTATCTTGGTCGAATTTATCCACCAGAATACCCTCTCTGTGTTACGCCACTACAAAAAGTCTGATTTATTACGATAAAATCCAGATAAAATTTCTATAACAACCAAAATCCGTTCACATTTGGGTGACGCCAGCTGTACTCCTTAATACATTTTTCACGTAAACTCGTATTTGGTACACTTATACTTAAATCAGAGTAAAGGTCCTCATTACTGAGTGAGTATAAATGTATATTAATTTCGAGTAATTTGAATGGCGCCGTGAAGATGGCACCACTTACATATCGCTTCTGTAATCTCGACTACAGTTGATAGGGGCCCGTTAGATGCTCCAGAAAATTGTGTGATCACCAGGAGAACAGGTCTTAGCCGGCGGTTTCAGATCTCAGCCAGGACAGGAGGCCCCGCGAAGTGAATTAATTTCAACACCGTATATACTAATTAATCATTTATGAGTGATTTATTTTTGCACTCAATATTTAGTTAATTAAAAACCAAGTCTGAGTAAAAAATGACTCAATAATAGTTAAATTTAAATCATATTAGAGAAAAAATCAACTCTAAATTGTTTTTATGTACTCAGAATAGAGTCAAAAGTCCATCAATTGATAGTTAGCAGTAACTCGGATTTGAGTAAACTCACTCATTTCTGATGCAATAGTTTCACTCAGTTGTACTCATACTAATATAGTGAAAATTTCACTCAATCGGGTATGGACAAAAATTATTATTATTGAGTAAAATTGAGTGAAATTTCAGTGAAATTTTGAAATTTTTCTACAGTGTAGTAAAAATATAACACCATTTTCAGAATTTAATTACCTTCTGCTTATAAACACATTTCCCAAAATATATCGATCACTTCATACTTTTTAGTCTACTATGATTGCCCATATAAAGTCAAATTTACTTAAAAATAGAAAACTGGTGTTATCTACGAACCCACGTCAGTATATGCTGACACGTTTATGATTGCTAGAGTTTGAAAATTGTGCTCACATATTTACGCTGTGCTATTTAATTTCCGTCTCATGTTACAGTGGATTAAAAGTTTTAAATTATAAACATATATATTTCATCATAAAAGAAATATAAGGATTTTCGCTTGACGTATTTTTGATAATAGCATCGTGATCGTTTGACAAAAAAAAACTATTATATTCAATATTTCAGTTTTGTCAAGTGAAAGAAAAACAAAATGGAGAACGTCGACCATCTTCAGACACACTCGAGTCCGTTTAATCCAATCTTTTTGTAGCAAATACAGACAGCGAAGTAACTTAAATCTTCAAAAACTCCTCAAGTGGATAGCTCCTTCGTGTCAAGCACAAAAGGAATAAAGGTGATTTATTATATTCAGAATAAAATATAAATGTTCTCTTTTGAGTTACTTTATCTAAGCTGCAGTCTGTTAAGCTCTCATAAAAAAATATATATCTATGTTCTTTGTATTTTCACCTCCCAAAAATATTATTTGGTATTTTATTCTTTGCAACTCGATATATAAGACATGTCAATGAATGCATAAGTTTGTTAAATAATGAAAAACAACGTGTTGTACCATAGGACTAAAGTTATTAACTTGAGTAGTCTTGGAAATTTGCCATCTCAATCACCTCAGATTTTCACTTTTACTTTGTGGTACAACTATTACGTTTCTTGTGATGTGATTCTTATTAAAGGCATTGTTTGGTCCTGTTCGATTTCTAATATGAAATGTCATGTTCACAACTAAGAAAATTTACCTCCACTTTGAGTTACTATAAGTTTTTTATTTATTCATGAATCTTTGTGAAGTTGAATGTATCATAAAGTTTAGACCTTAATGTTTATAAACAATGGAGCTGTGATTTTAAAAAAAGGGCTATCTCGGCCCAGAAAGGGCCGGATATGACTGTCGTGTTCCTGAGACCAGTAGTTCCGGAGTTACTTCTATTGATTTATAAAAAAATATCCCATTTTGCATTGGAAAAAAAATGTAACAAAATTGAAAAAAATTTTGAGACGTTTAACTATTATTTCCCGGCGTTTAAATTGATTTTTATGCACTCACTGACCTAGCTCAATCGTTTAAAAAAATCATGTTTGGGATAAACAAATGCAATTATTCATAAACTATTAGACCGATCGGGCCCAATTTGTGGCCACATATAAAGGGTTATAATACCTACCCTCATTTTTAGTAGATTAAAATTCGCCTATGGCCATTATTGCAAAAGCTATTAACAAGTAAAAAACACTGCAAAAATACGTGTTTTTTGCAATTATCTCGATAAATAATGCACCGATTTTAATGCATAAAAAAAATAAATTATAGGTTTTTTTTTACCTACAACTTTATTTGAAGACTTTTTCTCTACCTTGCCTCTGAAAATTTATATTTGAGAAAAACCTCATTTTGACTACTTTTACCATTGTTTATTCGGAGTAGGGGCAAAGTTGGCTGTACTAATTTATGTATTTTTCATTAATTATCCCCCCCTAACAAGATCCCGTCGCCAGATTGCTGCTATCAATTTCTTCTCGAAATCGCTATTTTTCCCGTAGAATGACTGATCTATTCTAAATTTTATAACGAGAGCAAAAATGTATTTGTTTTATAAAAACTTTTCAATTTCATTATTATTATATATATATACAAAGTAGTCACGCAAAAATGTAAAATATGGAAAAATTTAAGTATTATTAATTCAAGATGACGGTAGTCGAATTTAACATTTTCGCGTGATGATCCGATGCCTATGTTATATTTTTTGCGAAATAGCATAGCAAAAATAATCGATAATATTTTCTTAAGAAATAGTTTTAGTTAATTTCGGTTTTGTATTGACTTAATGAAGGCAAAAATTTTCTGATATTTACAATAAAGTTTTGATACATTTTTTGAGCTTGTGTTGCAGACTATCACGAACTATTCAGGATGTCTAATTACACATGAAATACGTAAATTAACAGGAATGTTGCTGTAAACTTTGTTGCACTATAACTCGCATTTAGTGTCTAATCACCTCAAATATGCCAGCTATTCTCCAGCAAGTTGGCTAGCAGAACTTTATCAAAAGGATATTTAAGGGAAATTAACTCAATGAATCTGCTGTTATATTCAGTGTTGTATATATACCTTCTCTATACATAATTAAACGAGGTTAATTTCCAATAACGCCATGTTCAAAATCATAAAAAGCATTTCGCAATTAAGTACTTTGAAATATATCCAAATAAAATTCAAAAAGGGTTATGTATTACTAAAACCGTTACAATTTGTAAATATAGTAAATTTTTTCCATAATATTTGTAGTGCAGAAATGCAGAAAATACTAGCATAAGCTGAAAAGTAAAATAATATGAAATTGAATACCTGAAACGAGCACTAGTACGATCCACATGATCCCAACCAGGCTCTTCATCATGTGGTTGTCGCGTCATGTCCACATGGCGCGTTTTTCAGTTTCCTGAAACAACACAAAGGAGTACATAGTTTCAGCGCATCAAAATGGAAAGTGGCTAACAAAGGGGCATGTTCGTGAAAGGATTTATTGACGGAAAAATAATTATTGGGTATTGTCTTGACAGCGTATAGGGTATTAAAGGACAGATACGTATTAGAATCAAAATTACCGTATAGTTCACAACATATTAAACAGGATTATTCAAATAAGATTCAATATTTTTTACTTTCATACGTTCGAATTTAAAAAAAGGAATAGCGGTCAAAGTTGTAGGAAATTTTTTTGTGATTTCAAAACTGTCTTTATAAAAACACTTGATTGTTGCATTTTGGAGGTACAAATCAAACTATACATAATACATATTTTACATATTTGGAAAATATATTCTTTACTTTCGTGCTCAAAACAGAAAAGACAAACGACTAAATGTTAAATTATATGAATGTTCCGCTTTCACCAGTAAAAATAATTTGATTATCACATTATTTAACATAGAATTAACAATTTCTACGTTAATAAAAGATTACCAGAACTACGTTTATAAACAACTTGACTTAATGCATTTGTTTACTTTAGTTGTTAAAGGAGTGCTACATTTTTTAATAATTATAGATTCAGTCAGTTTCTCAAGAAATTATCACAATTTGCTATATTGGTGAACTCATTCCCCACATTTAAGGCTGGCAACATTTGGAATAAAAATCATTCAGGGATAACAGCAAACACCAACCATGATAAATTTATAACTTATACTTATTTTTTAATTAAAATATTTCACCAATCGTCAAAATTTGCAAAAAAGATATAAAATTAAATAAAATAAACGCGTTCAAAAAAAGAACGCCTAGTTCTTTTAATTTTAAAACGAAAGTAATTTAGGAAAATTGATCTAAATTTATCAAAATTGATATTTAATGAAAAATTTTTGCCAGGGGCAGCTATTCTGTTTTATGTTCTATTTTTTTATGCACAAATGGAGACTTAGAAAAGAAAGATAAGGAAGAGTAGCTTCTGAAATAAGTCAAGTAGTAGGTATCTAAACTTGTTTATATGCATTGGCGAACTAGTGCCAAAACTTTCAGATAAATTAATCAGGATTCAGAACTTCGTAAAGGCTGACAGTTTTCCTATTGTTAAAGTTACATTTGTTGTTTGATGCGTACATCTAACATAAAGAAACAATGACAAAACAACAAGAAGAGTTATTTTAAAATACGGAATTAATCTGTAACAGAAGACAAAATTATATTTAATGAGAATTTACTTTTTAGAATACATATAAAAAATTTGTTTTTAATGACTTTTACTCATCTTTAAAGATCTAGTACGAATTAATTCTAGGAAAAATCCTTTAACTGACCTATACCGATTTTCAATAAGTATATCTTTTTTTGTAGAATTGTACACGGAATCTAAAAATGAATCCCAAATAATTATTAGGACATCGGCGTAGAAGTTGGGATAAAAAAATCCCGCTTTACTACCTATTCCTACGCCACTGATCTACAAAAATTTGTAAATTTTACAGTAAATTATGCACATGTGTAAATGTTAACACCATACCAAATTTGATTAAATTTGTTATAAGCACACCAAAGATTTCATAAATAATATGATTTTAAAAATCGACCAATATGGCCTTGTACAATGAAAAACCGTGAGACTTAGACCCTTGCTTTATAAGGAAATTCTGAATTGTTTATCGAGTTCTATTTGTGGTTAAAGTTTGATTCACCCGAACTGAAACACCCTGTATGTACTACTGATATAAACTGTTATAATGGAAACTAGATATGTTGTTATACTGAAATGATTATATGTTTAAAAGTTGATACAATTTCTTATACAAAAATTAAAATAATAAAATTGCACTAGAGATGAACAAAAATACAAATACTAAATTATGTTTAAAAAAGTACAATTTTCAATAAATAAAAGAACACACAAAATAATAATAATACGTTTTTACCTAAATAATTATACAGTAATAAAAAAACAAAATACGAACAATTAATAATGTTTAAAATAATATATTATACAATTATCAATTAATAAAAAAGAGCACATGATTATATAAATTTTTACAATGAGGAAATGAAAAACAACAAACATATGAAAGCACAATTCGATTCGATTAGTACCTTTTATATTAGTTTTAACCTGTAATAGCTTCGCACTCGAGTTAAGTAGCACCCTGCTTAAAATGTTGCACTGCTAGAGATTCAATTTTTAAATTTATTAATAAATCTTTATAGAATGTTTCATTAATAGTTTATTTATGAACACTTTAGATAACCACAGCTTGCAGTAATTGCTTAAACAATAATAATCTTTATATTTCAAGATTTGATTTCTTTAATCGGCATATTAAAAAATCGTTCTGGTGTCCAAGGGAATAAGCAGAAATTATGTAGCACATATGGCAAGGGAAAATGCTGTGGAAATATCAGGCACCCACAGCTACGACATTACGGTAACATAGCTTTCAACTACTGGCACAAAGTGTAATTTCTTGTACAATCGGAGAGTTAGTTGCAGAAACGAGCAATATTACTGAAAGGCTCTAAATAAGTTATTATCCACGAAAGAACTATATGAGTTTAATACATTCTCCTATCTAATATTTGTGGAAAGAAAATGAAAGATAGATTTATTATTTATTGCCCCAAGCTACAAATATATTTCGTTTGCAACCATGCTACTTGAATTTTATAGAATAAACTCCCGAATTTCTCTCTAACATTTAAGCTGCAAATATTTAAGATTTAAGATGACATCATATTATCGTAAAAATTTTAGAAATTTGTAGCAATAAATAAAAATAAATAGCATATAACAGGTTAGAAAAAAAACTTGCCATCTAATAAAAACTCCATTGAACATAAACAATTTGATAACAAAAATTAACGTTATTAATATTGATTCATATCTAAAAATTCATACAAACATAAAGTTTCATTATTATAACAATACATAATTAAAATATAAAACTACATACACTATTTACATTTGTTCATTTTAATTAAGTTTAATATTTCCATCTGCATTAACCAAATCTAAACTTATCTCATTTACATGGGTCACTAAAATTTCATCAGAAAGCAATGACCTTTTTGCGTTCTACAGTTGGTTTCCAAAACGTAACGGTAGATTTCAATCATGTGTAAACATATTACTTCTTCTAAAATATGCCTGTTTAATGTCTCGTGAAACCTTTCCATCTCAATTTGTAACATATGTATATCCAAAACTTATTTCGAGTGAAAGAAATGAAGTGGTTCTGATCACACTAATATTTCGTTTGAGCTGTATTTAGTGAAATGATTCATTTTAGACGGGATATTTTCAATTAATCTCTTTTAACCAGTCTTGTGTTAAAATACATAGAACAAATCATAAATAACAAGAGATTTTGCTGAATTTAAGGTGAAGCCAAACAGAAAAATAAATGAAATTTTCGATTTATCTACATAAGAATTATCGTTTTTTATTAATGATATTGTGGAACAATAACTCTGCAAGTTATAGATCCCGTCCAGGATTTAGCTATTTGGATATCTATATAGTATATACCAATATGTTTTGAATGTGGGTGAGATATAACCTGTACTGGTGAGGACTAATAATAATAATAATAAATCTTAGTTGTTTACTAGATATTGCGGATATAATTCAATGCTAGACGGGAGATGTATCATTAGTTAAACACTTTAAATGTTATTTTAATTCCTTCGGTGAATAAGAATAAACATAATTGTAAAGCCGTTACAAATTAATTATCGTTTGGTACTTAATAGCTAAATAAAATTGTCAACACCGTATCACAATACAAATTAAGGCAAAGTACATAATCCAATCAAATAGCTGTTTTCTCGAACTTAAACTTCTAAGTGCCGATGACAAATTAAGCATAAAACAGCTTTTATCCGTGCCTAAAATGTTAAAAGCTAAGTAAATACATTCTAGATACGAACTCAGAACAATTTCTCTACAGTAGATTTCCATGTAATATCATTAAAGAATTGTTCTAGAGTGATTACGATTTACGTATCTCATCTACAATGATTAATCGTAATTAATTTGACTAAGAAAACACTTTTATTCGCATTGAAACTGCCAATTTAAGGAGAGAATTGCATGCTTAAATAAATGAAGGTGCTTTTCCACTATGAAAAAAGAAAACCTTGACTGCACCACACCTCCTGACATAGGATTTTATTCATTTAATTTCATCCTAAAGAAAGCTTAAATTGTCATTTTTTCATAACAATTATAATCTGATGAGACTACATAAAGGCAAATCAGTGTGAGAGAAAGATATAGTTTTCCACTGTTATTTAAGTTCAATTTCATGATAAAATACAGTTACTGAAAAAAAATGGACTGGTAAAACAGGACTATACATTTTCTGATGCGTTTTGTTGTTAAAGTAGAGAGGAAATGTTTCTATTAATAATTTGAAGGGAAGTTTTATAATTCCTCTGTCTATACTATGCCTGTTGCTAGTAAGAGTTTTAAACAGGCATGAGCTATGTGAAAAGACAAACAGTAGCTGTGCAGAAGTTTCGTTTTCGTTGTTTAACTGTTACGTAATCACTTGACTCAATGACACTTTGTCCATTTGCAGATTAAATACGGATGCGTTATTTTTAATAATTAAATATAATTGCTCTGTTGAGCAATAAAGTAAAGAAAATAAGAAATGGGGGATACTTCAGTTTGGAAGACAGTGGCATACTTCTATAAATGATGAAATAAGTTCTCTTTGATCGCATAAGACAAACCTGCCTCTGAGCATATGTCCATCTTGGACCCCAGGACGAGCCCTTTCGAGATCTAAATATCAGAATTGGCAAACTAGCCGTCTATATCCGGTATCACCACTTTGAAATTTCTTTGTCGCTAGTACTCCAAGAGACTTATTTCCTTCTACCAGCTCTTTGAGAACAACTATGAGCTTT